ATGCCATTCCACTCCATGTCAGAATGGAGCAACTTGTACAGACTTAGAAACTTCATACACCTGCGCATGTACACCTGGATGGCTTGGAAGTCACTGTGATCAAGGTACATTTACTCATTAACCTTTTAACCCAAATAAATTAAATCTTATGTTATAATTGGTTTCATATACTGAAAGGCCCATTGACATTGCATGACCAGTTACCTGGCTATTTGAGATAATTTCATGATATGTTTCTGTTACACATTGCATTTTAATATATCATCATCTTTAGGTTTAATTTCATCAATAGTTTGTTGGCCAATTGAGATGTTTTCTGGCCAGTTTGGTTTAAAGGGTTAACTTTATATATCAGTAGTTTTTTTTGAATACCATGTTTTATTTCATGAACTTTATTTTGTGCAAATAGTATAAATGTCACTCCAAAAATTGACAAGGCCATTTTATTCTTTGTTTCGCTTTTATTCAAGCATCATCAGTGACATTCATACTATTTGAAATTTAACTCAGTAACATTCTAACGTTTATTCTGTACCGTGCTTTATTAAGATCATTTATCAACTAACCCAATAAATTCATTTTTCAATTTGTATTCTGTGTTTCTGATTAATTTATTATAATTACATTATTACATATTCATATAAGCTCCTACTATTTATATTATATAATAAGAATAATTATATAAGGTGACACGAATTTACACAACAGTATGAGAGGTGGAGGAATCTTAGTTTAACAGTAATAAATACCAGGTGAAACTAACAAACTAACATATTGTAAAGTCTATAAAATTTGTTGCCTCTATTTGGTTGGGGTTTCTGCTTCTGTTATGTATGTCTTTTGCTATGCCTAATGCTTTGTTTCTTTAATTATTTAGCTTCCGTTTATTTTACATGCTTTCAGTTGTTGATCTATGTATCAATTCAGTGTGTGAAAATGGAGCTGTCTGTGTTAATTACCAGACATTTTACTTCTGCACATGCTCACCAGGGTGGCAGGGCACAGTCTGCAATGAAGGTGATTGGTTGTTAAGGTCTTGTTACTATAGCTATTAACACTGGTGGTTATCAGGGTGATGTAGTCAGGGTTCTTACATTATTTAACTCATTTTCAGTGATTCATGAAAGATAATGATGAATCAATTGTAACTGTAATAAATTAATTTTAGTACTCAACCAAACATTCATTACTTATCTAGATGAACTGATGAATAAAAAATACTCTCTACAGTACTTACTAAAATTTATTGTAACTTTTCACACCAGTGTGATGTGTAAAAATGCCCAACATCACGCCTAGCTTTATCATTTTCATGAGATCATGTTGCAAATTTTGTTAGGGAGGTGTTCATCCAGGTAAGTATATTACATATATGTAATATGTACTCTTTAAGAATAATGATAAACTAATTACATTCGTGACATGTTGAAGTTATTGGGCGGAACTGTAGACATCACATTCCTAAAACAGATAACGTGTTGATTATATGTTACTCAGTTTCAGTGTAATTAAAAATAGATTTTCATCTTTCTTAATTTCAGCAATTGATCTGTGTCTGGACAACCCTTGCCAAAATGGAGGTGTTTGTAATAACTTCCAAACCAGTTATAACTGTAGTTGTGTTGCAGGCTGGGAAGGGTTACATTGTGACTCTGGTAAGAAATTACTACATTCTATGTCATGGATTAGTTTTTTTTTTCTTCCATTCACAATTCACAATGTGCTTATCATTTTGATTTTTAGCATCTAATCCATGCGAGTCTTTCCCATGTGAGAATGGAGCAGTGTGCAACAATTTCCAATCAAGCTACAACTGTATATGCAATGCAGGCTGGGAAGGAAGCAATTGTGAACAAGGTAAGTCAAATCAGTCAATATAAGGGAAGATTCATTATTAGATTCATAGTTTCATTTATCCTCAACTAAACTTTCAATTTGAATAATTTTTTATTTGCGAATCTGTGCTTTTTCTCACCATGTCAAAACTACCAAACACACTTTCACTTTCTCTTGTACTTATATTCAATTTTTATGGTCTTTTTGTGTTAATTGCAGCTATTGATGTGTGCCAATCTTTCCCATGTCAAAATGGAGCCATTTGTTTTAACCTTCAAACCAGTTTTATCTGCTCTTGCAGTGCAGGCTGGGAAGGAAGTACATGTGAAGAAGGTAATTTGTATTTTTTAGAATTTTTAGTAAAATACACAAATCAGAAATGATTTACGAAATAGACAAATGACTGGGGTGAAAATATAAAGCGCTCTGAGACTGAGTTTTGTAGAGTGCTTTTAGATACTGACGTATTATATATGATTTCTTTAACATTATTTTAAACCATATGAATATTCATTAGATCAGTAAATTGAATAATCTTTCATATTGTTTTTTGCAGCCATTGATTTATGCATGAGCTCCCCCTGTAGAAATGGTGCAACCTGTATCAACTTGCAAACATCTGTCAGGTGTACATGCCCTAATGGTTGGGAGGGAATAGTTTGCGATCAAGGTAATTTCTTATCTAATATTAGAATTGAAAGATGATATTAATAATCACTAATATTCTGTATTTTATTAACAAAATTTACTTTATTACTTTAATTTTTTTTAATTAAATTACAGTCTCAAATCCATGTCAGAGCTCACCCTGCATGAACAATGGAATATGCAACAACTTTCAATTCTACTTCAGCTGCGAATGCCTAACTGGATGGATAGGAAATCTTTGTGAAATTTGTAAGAATACAATATTATTGTTGTTATTATTTGTTGTTTTGTTATATAAATTATTGTGCTTTTATTTTATAATATTTAAATGATCAAATTGTATACATTTCAGATGATCCATGTTTCAACAACCCATGTTCATCTGGCGCCACCTGCATTCCAGAAAATAATGGCGATATCACCTGTATTTGCCCACCTGGATTCAGTGGAACCACCTGTGATATTTTACCAGGTATTAGATCATACTATATTTTTTATTCCCATTGATTTATAAACTAGAATTCTGAAGAAGTTTGTAGTTGTTAATCCTTTCCATGCTTTCCACACCTTTAGATCCATGTTTATCCATGCCTTGTCAGAATGGAGGGTTGTGTTTCAACAGTGCTGATACTTACACCTTTCTGTGCATCTGTCCAAATGGATACATGGGAGACTTATGCCAGAATCAAGGTATGCTTGACTATTTATGTTGTAGACAATAGTTTACTTTGTTTGTTTAATGGTTTACAATTTACAAGAAAATCAAAGCTGTGCCCAGCGTTCATTCATATAGTCTTGTTTAACCTTTTAGGGTTTGTAATATTATGTTTTCAACTTATCATTCTTTCAGATCCTTGCATTTCAACTCCATGTCTCAATGGAGGAATCTGTGAGACTATTCCATCAGGATTTACTTGTAAATGTGCAATGGATTTCATTGGAGAGATTTGTCAACTACAAGGTTTGATTGAAATGTGATTTAATTTTGTCTGTGCAGATCCTTGTCAGTCTTCCCCGTGTCAGAATGGTGGAGCTTGTATAGATACAGGGACCATCTTCGTCTGTCTATGTGAGACAGATTACTATGGGTTACAGTGTCAAATTGCTGATCCCTGCCTTTCAAACCCCTGTCAGAATGCAGGGGAATGTCTAACACTGATATTAGGACCAGATGTCACTTTCAGTTGTCAGTGTGCATATGGGTTCAAAGGTCAACTCTGCCAGTATTATGGTGAGATTATTAAGAATTATAATAACAATAAATTAATGTTTTGCAATTATGTTGCAATTTCCCATTAAAGTCTCCAACACTTCCATCATTTTTTTACCCGAAGTCAACGCAAGACCCCCTACAGCGATTAAAGCCCGGCTTAGAAACATGGTGGCACGCCAGGCCTAGTTACCATAGGAACACAGTCCGGCTTGAGATAAGCCACCTAGTTCAGACTGGTACGTGGATAAACCCGGTGAGTTGAGCCGGGTTTATCCACCTGGTCTGAACTAGGCCTGTGAGGATCATCTCTGAGGGTATTCATAAATGAATGTTAAATATGTATGTGATAAGAATATATTCAAGAAAAAAATGTTTTTGTTCCTTATAAATAAAACTACATTGCTTCAACTTTGTGGTGTTGTTATTCATATTTTCATTTTCCTTTACCTTTCAGATCCATGTGAGTCCACCCCCTGCCTTAACAGTGGCACCTGTCAATCATCTGGTGATGGCTCCATCTACAACTGTACATGCTTAGATTCATTTGTTGGAGCTAACTGCCAGCACATAAGTATGTCATTTAGCAATATGTATGTTTAATGTATTAGTAACGCTGGTAACTCCTACTATGACGATTATCTGCATAATCCAAAGGTTTGAATGTTTTGCAGAGGTAATGACTATGCATTCACCATCTACTAGAACACTGTACATTTGTACTTTCTTTTCATCTTTTACTCCCTCCAATTATGAAGTATAAGTACGATCATTTTAATTCTATTGTTCTATTCTATTCTATTTTTTTTTTGCCAGATCCATTCTCTTATTTTTGAGGGGTGGTCTATGTAGTTTTAATTCTATTGTTCTATTCTATTCTATTTTTTTTTTTGCCAGATCCATGCTCATTATCCCCTTGTCTGAATGGTGGAGTCTGCACCTCAGACTCTTCTAGAGCTACATACACTTGCAATTGTGCACATATGTTCCTTGGCAGCAAATGTGAAAACATTGGTAAGTCAAGTTGAAAATATTATAATTTTCTCTCTAGAATTGAAACATAGAATTCTGAATTAATAAGAATGTATCCTATTTTTGACAGATCCATGCTTATCCTACCCATGTGAAAATGGAGCAACCTGCATGCCCAGCGATGATGGCTCTTCATTTTCTTGCATGTGTAGTATTGGTTACCTAGGTGATGCCTGTCAATTTCTGGGTAAGCTATGTATATTTGTTATTGTATTATTGTGCAGAAAACCTTAAAAATGAATATTGATAAAAAAGAAGTGTTTTTAAACAAACAAGGTCAAACAAGGTAAATGCTGACATGAATTTACTAGTTCATTTAACTACAAAGTAATTGAAAAATTTTCTGTATGATAGTTTGATCAAAATATTGACACGTATAATTAACACGAACATTCTCACTCCAGGACCAATGTACAAGTAGGTGGGTACCTTAGAATAGTTCCTGATTGTTTCAAAGTTGTTGATGTTGATTTTTTAAATTCCAGATACGTGTACCTCCTTTCCTTGTTTGAATGGGGGTATATGCTCATCATCTGACCCCATGGGTTTCAATTGTTCCTGTACCATTCAATACGTTGGACCACTCTGTGAATTTATCAGTGAGTTCTGTACATTTATATGTTTGTGTCATTTTCAAATATGTTGGCTTCTTAGTTTGTTGGTGGCACAGAACATCTATTTTATAATATGCTAATCTTAATAAACAATCAAGCATCAATGATCCCTCTACATAGACCACCCCTCAAAAATAAGAGAATCGTCTATTGCATTCCACTATTTATGGATGGCTACTGAATTTGATTTTCTGCTTTGAGACAGTGCAATATGTAGAACTGTATGCTATTTATAGTACAATCATACCTAAAGTGTACATTTACTATTTAATTACCAAAATATATATATTTATATACAATATAAAACTATATCATACCTGTTTTTAAATCTATTTATTTGTTTTACTGTCAGATCCATGTATATACAACCCATGTCAGAATGGAGCCACCTGTACACCTGGTAATGATGGTATATATAGCACCTGTACATGTGCACTTGGTTTTATTGGCAGCAACTGCTTATATCCAGGTATTTGTAATGTCTGTTTTTCTCTCTCTGTTGTGGTATTTGTAATGTCATTAATTTATCCATTTCAGCTATATTCTATTTTTTAAATATTTATTTGGGTTATTCGCTATATGCAGAACTTACCTCAACATTAATTGGATTTTCCATCCCAGTGCACCACTTTGGTGAAAGCGGTTTTGTGCAGCGTGAACGGTTTGGTTTCCCAACCTCAAGGTCGGGGTTTCAATCCCTCGCTGTGCATTTCGCTTGTGTCCTTGAACAAGGCACTTTATCTGCATTGCTTCTCTCCACCCAGGAGTATAAATAGGTACCTGGTGGGGTGCCTGCTCCACCTAGATGGCAGCAACACTTAAGCATGTGGACCCAATGACCAGGAAAAAACTTACAGTGCTTTGTATCTGTAAAGAAGGTGATATATAGATGACCAGATTAGATTAGAATAAATAATAGACAAAGTTTAAATAATGTGATATTAGCCACACAATATGTCAGTGTATATTTTTTTGTATTATTATATAGATCCATGCTTAATGAACCTGTGTGAAAATGATGCTACATGTATTATTGGTGAAGACATGCAGACAACTAGATGTTTATGTGCTGAGGGTTACCATGGAGACCTCTGCCAAAACTTAGGTAATGGTTCAACAAATATATTAGCATTAAATATTTTAATATTAAAGCAAAAGATATTTGCTTTAACTTTTCAAAATAAAAAAAAATGTAAATGTGTGCTCTTCATCTTCTTGTGTAAAAGAACGCTTATGCTATCTATACTCTATATAGATGTGAATCTGTAATTGCATCAACCATTAAGTAGATGGCAATGTGTATATAATGATTATGGAAAGTTTTTAAAATATTGTTAATGATAATGATACTGATGAGGATCTTAAAAAGGTAAGACAAGATAAACTTTATTGCTCCAAAAAGGGAAATTCATAAAATAGCATTAATATATACAGTTGACAGTAAAAATATTAAAACAATGATCAATTGCAGTAAAATAAAATAATTACAAGATGGAAGAGATATAATACAACAGCCATTAAACCATTGCAGTCACCAAACCACAGAAATATCAGTAAACAAGGGTAAAAATTTAGACTATAAACATATTATTTTGAAGTTATTACAATATTGTTGTTTTATTATTATTATTATTATTATTATTATTATTACCATTAGGGATCTGGTGTGAGACAAAGGCCCGCAATGTTGATGAAATGTTTGAATCAGATTATCATAATATTTATAATTAAATTGTTGTTTCCAGATCCATGCCTGCTGCTTCCCTGTGAAAATGGAGGTACATGCAGTCCTGCAGATGATGGTTCTGCATATATATGTGTGTGCTTACAAGGCTTCCAGGGACCTACATGTCAGTTCCCAGGTCAGTGAAACACAAGAAGTCAAAGCAGTTATTTAATAGCAATTGCTCTAAATTCTTGTATTTAATTCACCATAGAATAATTTTTTTTAAATTGGTTGATTTTATTATAACCTACAGAACCCTGTATATCTGATCCGTGTAATAATGGAGGTACGTGTACCATGGATGTTGGTGGCTCCCTTTACCAGTGCACTTGTCCAGAAACCTACCTAGGTGAAAACTGTGAAATACCAAGTATGTATACATTATTGTCCTAATGTTCTGCCTTATGTATTTATATAGCCATCAGTAGTTTATGTTGTATATTAATATTATCAATATTTCAAAAGGTTTCTAAAATGTTTGCTTTCATTTCTGTGTAACTAAAAATCAATTAGATGCAAATATGAATTCATATAATGTTATCATACAAAGTACATAATGCATAATCCATTACATCACGTTTTTCTGACAGCATTAACAATATGAAGACTGCCCTCTATAGTAACCTTGCTTCAGATATTGCTAATGCTAATACTGGATACACCAACTATATCCCGAGGGTAAACGCTATCTTTTACCCATGTGATACAGCGGTGTATCCATGTAAGTATCTGACTCATAGACTACCAAAATCATGATTGATTGGTGTAATTTTGTTTTCTGTGCAATCTTTAGATCCATGTCTTCCAAGTCAGTGTGAAAATGGAGGCATCTGTCTTCTGAACACAAATCCAGTTTCATATGTTTGTGTCTGTTCTCTTGGTTTTCATGGCAAACATTGTCAATACATAAGTAAGTTAAAATTTACGATACATAAATACATAATTTTAAAATTGTCATATATAAGCAAGTTATATGTTTATATACAAGTAAATTTTAAGTATGTAAATAAATTGAAAATATCTGTTAATATCTGTAAATACTACTTCACTCCCTAAGCCTATTGACAAGGCATAGTTTATATAGAGTATCATGTGTACATCAAAGACCTTCATCTGGTCTTGTTGATATGGTATAGATCTAGATTTCTTAACTGTCATAAAAAATACCAGTATTTCTTGCTTATTTTGGTCTAATTTTAAGAAATCTAGGTCTATGCGTATATATGTCTTGCAAATGGGATTGATAAAATTGTTCATGTGTCTAGATAAGTAAACAATAAAAAAATAATTTTACATTTTCTCCAGATGCTTGTGTCTCTTCACCTTGTCAGAATCAAGGTTCGTGCATTACTGGAGACACTGGTGACTCATATACTTGTCGATGTCTCGATAGCTTCACTGGGGCCAACTGCGAGTTGAGGGGTTAGTGTCTTATTTGGCATTATGTTCATACAATACTCAGTAGGAGTATATTCACTTGCCACTGTGCTTTGAGAATTGCTGTAGAAATCATTATAAACCAAATTAAGCAGCTAGCTGGGTCGGCTACACTAGTGGTAGCTATTGTGTGTGTGTGTGTGTGCTGATCTGTGGATATCTGTCCCTGGTTAAATTCCCATCGCTGCCCTTGTGTTTCAACTGAAATATCCATCATCCATCCATAATTCTACATTATTATTATTTCTTGATTAATTAACAAACTATAATTTACATTTTTATTGAATTTAGATCCATGTAGTTTGTTTCCTTGTCTAAACAATGCAACATGTTTGATGAGTACTGACAGTGAAAACTTCATTTGTCTTTGCCAGCCAGACTTCCTCGGATCCAGTTGCCAATATTTAGGTATTGTATTGTGTTTCCAATAGATGGATAATTTATAACAAATCTTAAATGGAAATATGCTGAATGTCTGTAAGCGAAGAATGGAAATGCAGTACAAACAAAATTCTTATCATTTGATTTTCTTTCTCCATCCAACCTTCATAAGATCCCTGTTTGTCAAACCCTTGTCAAAATGAAGGCAATTGTCAACCAACTGAAGATAGTACCTCACACCGATGTACCTGTCGAACTGGTTACCTAGGCAACAACTGTGAATTCGTAGATCCCTGTGGCTCAAACCCTTGTCAAAATGGAGGAATGTGTCAATCAAACCAAAATGCCTCCGCCTTCACATGCCAGTGTCCATCACAATATCTTGGAATCTATTGTGAACACTTCAGTAAGTTTTTGAATAATAAGTTATAAGTTATGCAAGTTGAAAGTGGTTAAGGACAATGCTATGATAAATGTAATATACACTGCAATGATATTTGCTCATGACAAGTAGTAGCTGTAGGTGAGTAATGAAATATTTAACCTCTAAGAATATAAATGATCCAAATCAACATATGTAGGGATATTGACCTCACTGATTGATTGATTGATTGATAAATGAATGATAAATTTTATGAAACACTGATCTGATTAATACAACTCATTTCAGATGCTTGCCTATTAAGTCCATGCTTAAATGATGGCAATTGTAGTACAGGTGTTGGTGGGTCATCTTACACCTGCTTCTGTACACCTGGTTATCAAGGAAACACCTGTCAATTCAGTGGTATGTCAACAATTAGTAAACAGCAACCCTACCTATTGTTTATAAAATGATTCAAATACTTCATTATGTCTTCTTCCAAATTAAGTTGCAATCAATGCTTTTATAATGAATATTCATGTAATGATTGAAAAAATGACATTATAAATATCATCATATATTTATTTCAAAATATAGAAAAATGAAATAGACAACCTGTCTCTTGACTTAATGTTTTCATGTAGATAAAGCCATATGTAAGTAGATGACCGTGTCTTGAAATCTGTTTTTCCTATAGATCCTTGTGCATCTAACCCATGTGTAAATAATGGCAACTGTACAAGTAACTCAGATGGTTCACACTACTCCTGCTCATGCCCAGACGAATACTTGGGTGACCACTGCCAGAATCAAGGTAACAACATGCATGTCTGTGCTATGTATGATGACTTAATACATTGCAAAAATATTTTACCACAAACGAAAGCACTTTGAAATTGTTTTCCAGATTAAATCATTGTTTTGTCTTTGTTATTTAGATCCCTGCATATCATCACCTTGTGAAAACCAAGCTACTTGTATCGCTAATGTGGATAATTTTTCTTATGAATGCAGTTGTTTGCCTAGCTACTCTGGACTAAGATGTCAGACATTTGGTAAGCTGGTTTGTAATTGCTTTCACTCTTGCATATGCCAATAATAAATCTGTATCAAAAAACACAGGTTGCCCATCCAGATGATTTTATTTGAGGCTGATAGCATGAACTAAGATTGCCTGTACTGTTAACCAACATTACTTATGAATAACCAAAGTAGCCTTAGCAAGAATTAATGGGTCTGAAAACAGACCTTTATTTTTCTATTTTAGTTGTAAATGTTTGTATGTTCTTAGTAAAGAAGCTATCATCATTAACATTATCATATTCAAAGCTTAACATTTGTTGTTTCATGCTAACATCATTCAAGCTCCTGTGAATACTGTCCTGATGAGTCTTAATCGCTGAGAAATGGTGTTGTGGTGTTTGGTTTCATCTGCATTGTATTATTTTATTTTCTCACTTTCTGGTTTTCATCTATTAGATGTATTTTCATCCCCACAGTATAGTAGTAAAAAATACAAAAAAAAAGCAAAACTTTGCTCTGATCTTCATGAAATACTGGAGATGTTTTATATGAATCACAGACTGAAGAATACCACAAATAAAATGTGTCATAGATTTCTGCCTGCATGATTTTGAATGATAAATGTATTGATATTTGTATTATCTATGTTTGATGATCACTATTGATTCTTCAGCATACCATGCAGCCATTGTTGAAACCATTCAATAGATCGAGCAGCCTATTGATTAGCTTACATTTAGGGTGTTTAGGGTGGCTGTGACTCAGGGTAGTTTGCCTGTAAACTCCCAGTGACATTTGATCTGTACTTCAGGTGTAAGCCCTGGTTGTAACTACTGCCAGTCAATCGATGTGCTTGGTATCAAGTCTTGCACATTTTAGGATATATCATATCATTGCTCATCCCATCTGACAGTTTTATGATGGTACCATGTTTAAAAAGAAGTTAATAATTTACTAATTAATTGAATGCCTGAAAATAATTTAAAATCACATTTTGGGGCCCCTATCTTTCTCCAAGGCCACACACTTGTCTTACCTCCACTGCAAAGTAAACATAAATGTTATATAAGATTATAGCTAGTGTATGCAACCAATCTTATCAAAATTCATGTATGAGTTCCATACTACTTCATAAAAAAATTGCATTTTATATGATGTATATTAAGTATTAAATTAGGACTGGAACAAAAGTAAACGTCTTCATAAAACAATAAATTAATAATAAGATTATAGCCAGTTTATGCAACCGATCTTTTCAAATTTTATAAAATTGAGAATACTGAGTTCCATACTACTGAGTTCCATACTACTTGATAAAAATATATACATTTTATACAATGTTTTATTTTAGATGCCTGCAATTCATCTCCATGTCTGAATAATGGCACCTGTTACACAAGCGTTAACAGCTATACTTGCTCATGCAGCGTAGGTTACAGTGGCATCAACTGTGAGCAAATATCAGGTAAGATTATACTGCCCTCTATTTTCTAAATGTTTACATTTTTAAGCAGATAAGGATGAACATTTTCTGATGCACATCACAAAATTGAGTAGTATTTCATAAATACTTACAACAATGAACCAACATATGTTTTCTTTGTTGAAACTTACCTCAAAATATAAATTGTAATCATCTGTCCCAGATCTGTGTGTATTATACACACAGATCTGTCCCAGATCTGTGTGTATAATAGATATGAATAATCATCTTAATTTTTCTTTGGAATTGAGTGCAAAATACCTAATTAAATAAACATATTAGCTGACTGAGCATCTTAGCTCAGTTGGCTAATCAGGTGGTAGCCGTTGTATGTGCTGAACCGTGGAGATCTCTAGGTCCCCGGTTCAATTCCCATCGTTGCCTCTCCTTGTGTTTCAGCTAGAGGGCTGAAATACAAGTTACAATAGTGCGCCGTCTTTCGGATCAGACATTTAAGCCGTTGGTCCCGTGTGCATTGGCCCATGTGCACGTTAAAGAACGCAGTACACTCTTCAGAAAAGAGTAGGGTATTATCTCCCTGTGTACTGTCCAATCACCACCAGAAGGACCCCACTGGAAATAAGTCTTCTTCTAGACTTTCGTGGGCTATCCTTGGTGTTTACACCGAATAAATCCAGTCCAATCTAAATACAAGTATATATATATATTATCATTTATTTTGCATATGCTATGTATAGCACTAGTATTTGGCTTGCCTCATACATGTGTCAGAATTAAGTAATTTACACATGATAGGATGTATAACATTGATACTGAACTTTATTATGCTCTTAACATGCAGAAGATAAACTTTAATTAGCATGCAGAAAATGATAAGCATGTAATAATATGATTATAGTACCAATATAACAGTGGAACACAAGGACAAAATTTGAAAAGAGATCTATATTTAGCATTTAAAATTAAGCCTCAGGGGCTACCTAACCATAATGGCATGGTGTTACATAATGGTATCTCATATTAAATAGTATCTCATATTCATATTCATATTATCTGCTTTTAAAATTTTGTAGTTAAGAACTGAACCACTTTAAAAACCAGTACTGTGTATTGAAAGTGTATATTCACTATGAAGGAAGAATAAATAGTCCACCAGAAATACGGATTTGAAGCACCAAAGTTGGACATAATTGCAACAAAATGTATTTTTATGAATATATATAGTTAAATTTTATATCTACAACATACAAAAAGTTTACTAAAATATACCCACGGGAAAGGTGATTTTTATAGCAAAGAAAACTGAACTATTTCACTGGGATTATACGCCCTGCCTACTGGATGTGTGTGCTGTGCCTTGGTTACGAAGCGCTTCAATTTGATTTCCCGCTGACGCTTTTGATTGGTTAACATACCTTCAACAGTCTGCGCGTACTCCTTTACGCAACACGTATGTACGTACGCAAGTTTGTACGTACGTCACGTCCCAGAATGTAAACACGGAAGTAAAAAATTGTTAGTAACCTCTGTAATATTTATAGTCCACCAGAAATACGGATTTGAAGCACCAAAGTTGGACATACAGTAATTGGTTCTACGACAATAATTCAATTTTAATTTTAAATACAATGACATGATAGGTACGATTAATTTGCCTTTATTATACAAGTATGAGAAAAAATGTGTAAAGATAAATTGGTTTTCGGCTCATGAAGTAGGTAAAGTAGATAAATCGAAGACAATTGTGTTTTATACAGTATTTCTATCGCAGCGATTCATATTAGATACAAGAGACAAGATACAAGATAGCTTTATTGTCAAATTAAAATATTAAATTAGTTTTTCTTATGGCAACAAAAGTACATAAATAACAAAGAAACGTACGATCAATGATGATTAATTTTACATCACATATACAGTATTAATTAGATCTATATGGTTGCCGAAAATCGTTAATAAAAGAAATTTGTTGAAGCTTCATTTTGCCTGGTGATGTGATGATGACGAATTTTACTATAAAATTTATAAAAGTGTCTATTCCCATCTAGGTACTATTTTATATTTCTTTTTACCTCAGTCCCAACCACGTACGGCTGAAGTAGAGCTAAGAAAATGTATGATTACTGCACCTGTAGGAGGCGGAAAATTAAATTGAAAAGCTGTTTTAGATAATTATTTTCTTTAATAAGTATGTTTATCAAACTATATTGTTGTTGGAAGACACTACAGTACTCCGATATAAAGTAGAACCCCTAATTAGGGGCCCTTTTGGGACTTCTCAATAAGATAAGGGTAGGCCTACCAATATTCAAGGGACACAAACCAAAGCGTGAAATTGTACCCTTATTAGGGGTGTTGGTATAATGTTTTCAAAATTACAAAATTTTATTTATATTGACCTAGAAGTGAATTACAGTAGAACTAATTTATGTTAATAATTTTCAATGCAAAATTCATTTATCGTCAGCAGTAATGTAATCAAAACTACAATAGTTATGTTATGTTCCCATTTTCGTGTGATGCGAAATCAATGACCAATATTCTTTTTCTTTTAATATTGAGCTTTCTATTGGATGCATGTATCATGAATAGAGTAAACGACTCAATAATTAGTAGGGCCTATGTTATGATACAGATTTGAATCCTAAGAATAAATTCAAAAGGCGTCAAAATATAAGTTGAAAGATTTTTTATTTTGAGACTGCTCTAGTTTTTGCGATACTGTACAATAAAAAAAACCAAAAAAACGGTACTCGACAATAAATAAAGTAGTAGTTCTACATCAGTAGACCGATGCATTTCTGGTTCCATTCTACACCTAGATACTTACTGATGAGATTACATTGAAAATAGTCCTAGGCCTACGTTACTAAGATTTTCTCTATACGTTCATGCGTACGTTAGCCGAGAAAACGTTGCAATGCGGGGAAAGTGACACACTTCATGGTGTGCGCGAGACTGAACCAGGAAGCAAGAGAGCAATGCCTAGGCTAGGGCCTAAAATGAAATGTTATTACAAGGCCTCAGGCCTAGACTTTACAATAAAATTTGTCTGGTCATACATCTCGCGATCGCGAAGCTCGCACGCGGGTCTCACTCTTTCCGGCAACAAACAGATATGACCTACGTTGACCTAAATGTTGACCAATCATAATCAAGAAAAGTTTGAAAACCGCAGTACGTACCGTGTAAAAGTCTACTTTCAAATAGTGCTGAACTTTTGGTTATAAAAAACACCTTTATGTACGTCCTATTTTGGTAAACTTTTAGTATGTTGTTTTACATATAATTAAGATTATATTTAGATCATAAACGTTTTGTTGCAATTTTGTCCAGTCAAATCCGTATTTCTGGTGGACTAAAATAAAAATAAAAATTATAATCAATATAGATATCATACATATTTTATTAGTGGTGGAAGTACTAAAGCAGATCTTTGTGCCTTGTATGTTTCTGCGTATAATCACATAAGAAGCAATGCTTAACAGAAATTAATCATATATTTATTATATTTTAATATCAAATTTCAATAATTTTGAGTCTAGAAAATAAGGGTTATTTCTCACCAGTAGCTTTTAAATTTATTATATTTGTTTATATCCATTTGTGTTTACTAACTGTCAGCATCAAGTAGGTTTTATTTTAGATTATATAGAAAAATACATTTGATGCATGTTTTGTTCCAATATTAGCATAATATGGAACATTCAAACCCAAATAATATTAATTTGAATATGAATATTTGTTTGAAAAAGATTTCTTCATGTTGAATGATATCAATGGGCATTGTTTTTTTCTGTGTGTGTATTGAAGCCCATAATGAGGGGGTTATTATGCTTTAGCTAAACTCCCTTTTGCAGTAAAGCCCCTCTAAAAAAATCATCTCCCCTTACATAAAAAAGAACCATCAGATTGATAATATAATTCACCATTTGCATGCTGGAATACTTTAGCCCCTGACCCACACAAGAGATCCTCCTCTGGACCCCACCAGTGCACCTTGGTACCTCTCTAATTTAGACATAATAGAAACATTTTATTATGTTTGATATTATGAATAACATGTTTTCCATTTTGTTGGATCTTATTTATTGACCTATGAAATTTCCATTGTTATACCTTTTTTATCGTTTTGTTCACATGTTGTAACTGTAAGCATATCTTCTTTATGTCTTCATAAATTGTGTTTGATTTCTCTCCTGCTGCTCTGACACATCAAGCGTGAGGTAAGAAAGCAGATCTGACACAGTGCAAACCTCACCCTAGTGGATGTTTTACTTGAGCCTATATGTAAATTGTTCAAGCTGTTTTGTAGAAAAAAAATTTTCCTGCCATCCAAAAACATTGGATATTTTAAAATCAACAAAAAATTGGTTGATTGCAATGTGTGGAAGAAGTAACACCATAACTATATACAAAATATAAATACTTGATTTTGTTAAATTGCTTGACCTCCAATGGAATGACTATAAACTTAACACTTACTGATGTACTCTGACTGAAGCATAGCATTCAAGTATTGTTTAGGAAAATGATGCTGTAGCATAATAGCATTCAGTGTGATAATATTATTATATAGTTAATTAAGGAATTTTGCTTTTATCTTACAATCAGGCAGGGCTACTTGAATCGCTGATGTATCAGTGTTGCTGCTTCCGAAATGGAGGAGCAAATTAAATTTGATATCCTTATAAAAATTGATTCTGTCATCTTTTCATTATGGGAGGATGACTTACCAGTTTATGATGGGTAGCAAACGTTAAATTTAAATGATTTAACCCTAATATGTCCTGTCTTATCAGATGAAATACAGGAAACAGTAAACAGTAGAATATTAACAAGGGATGTTTTCAAAATTGTTACAATCACAACATGGAATTAACAACAATAGGTCATGCTATACCTGTGATAAATCACAGTCTCTAACTTATTACAGATTTTATATATTGTAATTGTTTCGTCATGTTGATACGTGCATTTTACACGAGTGCTTTCCTCCTGTTGTCATGTTTGATATTGAT